AAAAATTATCTTAGAGAAAGCAGTAAATTCCCTTTCCCCTTTTGTTTGCATTTCAAACGAAAAACTCAGTTTAAATTAACGGATTTTTTCCGCAGCAATTTAACTTAAGAGCGCAGGTGGCAATGTTTAAAATTACTTTTGTATTTTATGTTTAAAATTACTTTTATAATAAATGCAGCTATAATTTTATGCATAAATTAAGCCCTTTTTTTAGTTTAAAATGTATGCAGCATGATTAATACTTAATAATGTTTTGCTCTATTCTTGCTTTCCATGCAGATTTCTTTTATGGATAAGATTTATAAAATAAATAGTAGATACTACTTTACAAGATAAAAGTGCATTAATTGCTATTTTAATTATGTCTAGTGTTTATGAATTTAAAACCTGTTATGTGTTTAAGTATTTTAAAAGGTGGTTTTCTATTTAACGAACTTATTATCTGCATTTAGTGACTTCGTGAAATCGAAGTTTGATTGTATATATATGGATGGTGTTTTCAGTAGAAAAGTAAACAATAACTATCTCGAGCTCGGGACCTACTCTAGTTCCGGTTAAAAAGTTTGCAGCTGCTTACTACATGTTATTCTCATTGGCCAGGGGTGGCGAACCTTTATACACCAACGTGCCATTTTTTCTAAAAAATTGTTTAAGGAAGTCACAAACGTGCCGTCAAATAATTTTGACTTCTTGATTATTGGGAAAATAGTAACACAAAATACTATCAACTCAAAACTCTTTATTTACATTGAAAAAAAAAATACATTTTGCAATGTCTCACTTAAGGCGTAATTCAACTTAAAGCAACATCAGTGGGACTTCTGTTGTTGCAGATTAGATGACAAATAAATTATATTAGGTTGTAAGATATTAGTTTAAGCAGGACTGTTGATTTCTTTTTAGCTAGTTATTTATGGTTAGCTTGTTTTTTATGGTTATTAATTGTTTTTTTAGCATTAATTGTTAATTTTTTTATTAATAATTGTTTATTATTTTGTTTGCTTTTTGTGGATTTTAATTTAATTGTTACATATGCTTCATAGCGTAATGACATTTGTGTAATAACAATTCATAGTGCAATAACAATTGTGATCGGTGGCGTGCCCAAAATATTGTGTCGCGTGCCATAAATGGCACGCGTGATATATGTTCGCCATCCCTGTCATAGGCGATGTTTTCAAACGGATAATTTTGTTTTCAATAAAATAAATAAATTGGATAATTTCTGAGCTCAAATCTGCTGTATTTCATAAGATATTAATGTTATTATGTAATTCTGGGGAGTTTGGAGTGAAAATTTGTTTTAGTTATTTTGTTATTTATTATTAAAAAAGGTGACATGGCTGCTAGATTTTGAATAACTCGCTTTTTTGGCAGTCTTGATTTGGCCTCTTTCCATTTGTGTATTACTGTTTGCTCGTGTTGTAAGCTGTGCACCATCTTTCGTTAGTGTTAACACTTTTAGTATTGTAAACACAAGTATTGTTAGCATTGTAAACATAAGTAATAAGTAATCAAATACATTGTTTGCAAGAATCTCAAAACACAATGATGCCAAATGGCTTTAAAATACAACGGAAACAGTAACCC